ACCCGCCTTAGCCCCGCCTGGTCGCCTCCCCAGCCTTCCTTCGGCTCGGCCGAACAGGCCTGGCACCGCAGGCGGCACCGCGGCACCCTGCCCTACGCGGGGCAGCGCCTTTGTGTGTCGGGCAGCAGCACCTCCTGCTGCCCCCCAGGGCCCGGGGACGTCGCGAGGTGCTGGGGGGGCTGGCTAGCTGGACAGTTGCCTCCCTGAACACGGGCTGTTTGGTTTAGCGCCTTGGCAGGCGTCTGCATGACTATAATGCCCCTGCGTTCACGCACAGGGCGTCCGTCTTGGCGTGGCACAAAGCAAAACGATCAGAAAGGTGGTAGAGGCGGTAGTTTGTACCCAGCTGATAATCCAGTGTGCGAGGCATTAAACATGTCTCTGTTATGGGGACGTAGGAGACCATGGTTCAGCTTATGCTTGGTCTTGCTGTTTCATGTTGCTGAAGGGAGTGAATTATGTCTCTAGATCTGTTTTTATTTGCTGTTGATGACAGCTGGTCAGTGCTGTTACATTTTATTTCCCTATTAATGTTTTGGTTCTGACTTAAAGGACTGGCATTGAAGGCGAGCTGTCTGCGTTTTTAATAGGATTAGAAAGAGGGTTTTAATGGAGAAAATGTGATGAGACTCTACTGCCTACCCAAATGTTCAACTAGTTTAATTTATTCTTAGTTAAGGGCACTGGATAGAAGTGGTATTTTACGTGATCTCTTTCACTCTCTTTTCCTCCTCTAGATATCTCTGCGTTACAGAAACGTGTTATGAATCAGATCACATTGTGTTTCTACTTCGGCAGTTAAAAATTAAAGCTAGGTTTTCTTGAACTACCTCACACAAACTTTCTACGTTTCTTAAGTAAGCAAAGCTAACCCTTGCTATTGGAGCTACACTGAATGTGAATAGAAAATACACTTCCTTTAGAAAAATAAACCTATTGGCCAATGTTGAGACAGTATCAGTATGTTTCTTATATATTTCACGTAAGATGTTCATGTGTAATATATAGCTCGTGTACAATAATGTACATCTAGAATATTGTGTTAGCTGTAAATTGGTGATTTTATTATTGTAGTCTGGTTTTGTAGGTAAAAAATAGCTTACTAGTAATGTCAGCTCATCCTTTACATTTTACAAAAGGAATAATTCTTGGTAAGCTTTGCATACAGATGAATTACTTTTGTAGGCCCAATATCTAGTCTATTTTTGAGAGTTCTTTAACTTTTATTACTAAAGTTGAGAAAAAAACCCTAATTATTGTGATCATTCCTTCTGCCCCTTTTGAAGTATATTCGTGATTTTGTCCGAAGAAATATGAAGGGGAAGATACACCATTAAAAATACTAGGAAAAACTGTAATTTTTCTTTTCTTCCCCACATTTGATACCTTTTCCTGCTTTTCCTTTATTCCCTCCAAATAAGCTGTTGGTGGGGCATTACTGAGAACATTGTGGGTTTTTTACTCATTCATGCCATAGGTCATTACATGTGCACCACTGGAATGTATACATTGTTATCTAGTATGTCAATTGGTTATAATGATATTTTAAATAAAAAAGGAAAAAAAAAAGTTTGACCACTATGCATTTAGTGTTTCTTCACCGCTAGGCTGGAATGGATTTCGTATGGATTTCATAAAAAGGGCTGCAGTTGGAGTTTTATTAGCATAAGCCCTTGCTGAGAATTCATCTGTGTTTAATGGTACTTCAAGTCCTGCCTTGTGTGTGAGCTGGGTGACATGTTTCTTCCACTTCTCCATTCCCACGGGCTTTGGATGTGCCACAGGCTGCTAATACCCAGTGTGTTTGTGACCACTGAGAATCCATTCTTACCGCCTAGCTGCCTTCTTCCCGGGAAATAGCGCGGCTGAGCCCCTGCCCTGCAGAAAGAGGTAAGCCGTGGGCTGTCTGGTGTACGAGAGCAGGGCCCAGTCCCTGTGCCCTCAGGGAAATCTTTCTCAGAACTGAGTCTCAGAGAAACTCGGAGGATATGACTTCTGGAGTGCTAAATGGAGTGCCAGGACCACTTGTGCACTAGCACCTCCACAGTGGGGCTAAATCCCAACATAATGTGTTTCCTTGCCTTCGTTTCCAGCAGGCTGCCGGCATCTCTTGAAAGGAAGACTCAAGATACCCGAGTTGTGTGTGGCGACCTCTGTTGCATGGTCTCTGTGTACTTTTTGATGGGAAAGGTCCTGTGACCGTGGGCAGTACAGCGCAGCCTGCTTTGTTTCGCTGGACCAGCTGTTCGTGAGGTGCTCTTCTAGGAATGTGGTGAGGCTCAGAAATGCTCTTTTTCATTTGTATATGTTAGCATAACGCATAGCTGATTCCAAGTAATGTATTATTACAGAGCAAGGCCTGAGACAGTTTTAGCTGTGCCAGGGATTTGTCTGTGGGCACACCCAGAGCCGAAGCGCTCCATAGTGTGCTGCTGGCTTGCATGGAACTTGCTAGCAAATGCGGGTAATTCAATAAGTTATTATTATTAGTTTTCCTTTTCA